CTTGACTTTTCGATTATGTCAAATAGAATTTCCCGATGGCTGGAGCTGCCAAAAGGATCTAGAAACGAAAGTATATTCGATGTCCACAAACACAAAAGAATTGCTACAGAAAATGGATAAAGGTATATCCTTTGTTTATCACCCTTCCGAATCTTTTCAATTTCATTTCACGCTGCGCTGAGTGGGGGGGGGGGACGTCCACTCCAGTGACTGAAGTGATCTGTCACCACTATCCTTATCTTCAAGCAGATGTTTTTATTTTCGCATATTCCTTATTAATGTAGTATTATCTCGGTACTCCGTCTTTGATATGACTTAAATCAAATGCCTCGCATTATAATTCCGAATACCATCAATAATTTCCGGTTGATTTTCTATTTCGCTATGCGTAAGGTAGCATCGCCGTTGAAAGAAATGTTTAATAAAGTAAACAAAAATATTAGCTTTTTTTTGTAATTTTGATACCCTTTAATCATAATTGCTCATTATTTTATAAATAAACGGTTTCTTTTTTAATTTTATAAGTTCTAATGCCATCTTGCCAGATTTAACGATATCTCTAATCGGATCGCCGAGTCCGACATTCGATTAGACTTTGACTGTATACCTTTATATTAGTAAATACTCTCCTCTTCTTTGAATTAATATTAAAAACATTGACAATTCTTTTACTTCTTACCTCAGGCTTTAATTCATTTTAAACTTTAAAAATTCCATTTCAAATTGTTGCCACCCCTATATCCCTGTTTTATTAAATCGCATAATTATGTTCTCCGTATTGTGATAAAACAACAGTATCTAGAGGCATCAAATTTTGAATAGCATAATCCTCCGCTGAATATGGGCATCCAGAAATCTAATTTGGAATTTCTTTTATTATCGATTTCATAACACTTTAACGAAATTTGGATTACTAAATTCAACAATTTCAAAGCGAGCACTAGCAACACTGTTGGAAAAAAAAAGCATTTTTATCTCCAGCACGCGAGACTGTGTATCGGAAATTCTAAAGATATGCTCATTTTAAAATTATTTTGCGATGTTGCTGTTGAATTGAATTTTATAGTTTAAGTGCGAAGAACATGATATTTAATAAATAAAGGTAACACTAATAACCTTTGGGCGTAATGTAAAGTCTGAAGGCTTTTAGATTTGTTTTAATTATATTATCATGAATACGGAATTTTATATGGCAATATTGCATTTTTTTAATATTCTGTTTAAAGATACAAATCTTAATTGACATAATCAGCTATAAATAGGCACAGTGTAAGTGTTATTGATTTAAGGTGTTAGATCCTGTTGTAAAAAGTATTATATAGAGCACTGGCTGTTAACGGGGTCAGTAAGAGGATGTAGAGGAGCAGTGAACTTGTTTTGGGTGGTAGGGGGCAATGAGCATGTTTCGGCATGCAAACTTAATTTTAAATTTCCTTATTGTACCAGCAATAAAACGAACTTAGGCAACTGCTCCTAAGAATGATGAGGCAAATTTATATTCGAGGTAAGATGACCTTCAAGAACTCAAAACTACGTTTTTTTTGCAATCCTAACCAGCACAGTGCATGTGTCAGTTATTTCTGCTCGCTATTAATTGCAATGCATGCATTAAGCTTCCTTTCAATATGAATATCAGATTTGACTGGTGTTTCTTGCATTTCTTGCTTTTCGTTTGCCTCATTTCTGTTTTTACCCCCCTCAGTTTCAATTTACTTTAATTTTTCATTTGGCCATTTGCCTAGATAATTCCACTTATTATTCTTTATCATGATCGTGAATTATTAATTTTGAAAAATAGTTATCTTTCCCTTTCTTTTTTTTTTTTCAATTTACTTTTAATTTCATTTGGCCATTTGCCTAGATAATTCCACTTATTATTCTTTATCATGATCGTGAATTATTAATTTTGAAAAATAGTTATCTTTCCCTCATCATATTTTGCTGCTGCCAACAATGTTGTTTAATAAAAAGAAATGTCAGTATAGTTCCACGTACTTGAAATTTGGATTTGTTCATTCGCCGTTGAACTTGCAACTGCCCATATGTTTACTTAGTGAGAAAGTATTATCTGATGAAGCAATGAAACCATCTTGTTTGCAGGAGCATCTGCAAAAAATTCATTCTGATAAGCAAAATAAAGATTAGTTTTTTATAAGCATCAAGGACAAGTTCCTGAAAATGTCGTCTGTCTTAGGCTTACAAGTAGCGTCATCAAAACAATGCGATGATGCTTTAATAGTCTCTTATAATATACAGTCAAAAGTCGTTAATCCGGACTCGTCGGGACTTCGGCGATTCCGGATTATAGATCATCAGTTTAAATCTGGTAAGATGGCATGCAAAATTCTAAATTAAAATATGAAACCGTATTTATGAATAAAGAGCAATTATGTCTAAAGGGTATAAATTACAAACAAAAGCTTAATATTTATTGTTTACTTTATTAAACATTTCTTTCAATGTAAGTTGTTTAAGTTGCTTCGTTTTATGTGATAATACTTTCTCTTTAATTCTATAAACAGACATAATTTTTTGTTCAGTTACAAAGTTGTTCTGCTGTTCATGTGATATAATTGCTGTGCAGAGAATACCGACTAACGTGTCAATCGAAATTTTTTCGTTTTCACTAACCTCTCTGTCACCTTCTTCATGTCTTATCCCTTTTTTGCAGCAATTCCACTTTTTGTTTGATGGACAATCGAAACATACTTTCATTTGTAATCCTTTGGGGCTCCAGCATCGGAAATTCTATTTGACATAATCGAAAGTTCAGTTTATACTTTTATAAAATTGCTCTAACAGTCTGCAAAAAATAATAAGCCGCATCCATTCGAAGATTAAGGAACAACGCAATCATCAACATTAACTGAAATAGATAATTAGATAATTTTAGTTTATACTGTCTGTTATACATTAAACGCGCACGCGAAAATGTATTCTGCACTTGCGCACTTCAATGCGCAGTAGTAAAGGTCTTACGCGCACGCTTAAACGCCTATGCGCATGTGTCAACGCCGCGCATGCGCAGAAAGTTTTTAGCTTTGGGGTCCAGATTATAGATCATTTCGGATTATGGGTGTCCGAATTAACGACTTTTGACTGTATCAAAGGTAATTCCTAAATCAGGGAAAGCTCATACCATTGGTGAAGAATTGATCGTGCCGATTGTCAAGGGAGTTTTAGAAACTGTTTGACACCATCCAGTCACATCCAATATTATAATATAAAAAAAAGTTTCATTAAGCAATGATACAGTTTGATGACAAATTGATGAGACAGCTGAAAATGTTAAAGCTTCTTTATACAAACTTTTAAAACGCACCGAATTTTCTCTTCAGGTTGATGAAGCGAGCCTGCCAAGTTCTAATGAGGCTTTATTGTTAGTTTAGATCTTGTTTGTGAAGAAAGAAAAATTATTCAAAGGATGCTTTTTGCAAAAAGCTCGATTGCAGACACTAAAAGTGAATCTATATTTAATACTGTTAAAGATCATTTTAAAGAGAAAAATATTCCTCTTGCGAACATTTTGTCCTTTGCAACCGATGGAGCTCTTGCAGTGGTGGGTCGCTATCGTGGGTTCATTGCCTTTTTGAAGAAAGAGGTACCAGGTATTTTATCCGTTTACAGCATGATTCATAGTTGCAAAAAACCTCAGCAATCATTTGTATCAGTCGTTACAATATGTCGTCTCTATTCTACAAAATTCGCAATAATGTTCTCAACAATCGATTATTTGTGCATCTGTGCAAGGACAAGGCTGAAGAATTCAGTCGCTAGCTTTTACACACTGAGGTTCTCTTGGTCTCCAAAAGCGCTTGCCTCAGTAGGTTCTGGAATCATTTTGACTCCGTACTTGAGATCCTCGAAGAAAAAGATGGAACTCTGAAAAACAGATTGCTGCAATTTAAGATTGATGTTGCTTACATGACTGATTTATTCGTAAAATTCAGTGGAATTAATTTGCAGGTTCAAGGTGAAAGGCTCAATTCGATTACAATATATAATGTGTTATTTCTGCCTTTTTAAAGAAAGTCACTTCGTGGAAGCAGAATTTTGGTTGCAACGAATTCAGCCAGTTTCCAACCTTGTCGGATCTGCATAGGAGCAGTGAAATCCCATTCGATGCGATGACAAGTTTACTGTCAACACCTTGAGTCTTTGCACAAGGACTTTTCTGAGTGTTTTGAGGATATTTTGCCTCAGGAAGTCCCTCAGTGGGCCATGAATCCTTTTATGAATATTGAGAAAACAGAAGTTCAGATTCAGAAGGAACTAGTCAAACTTTCAACTAATGAAACTTTGAAAACCAGCTTCCAGAATGATGATCATCTCACAGAATTTTGGCTTCAAAGTAGCATCAGTTGCTTATACCCAGGATTATGGACTGTTGTCAAAAAAACTGTTAATTGCTTTCCCTCCCTCCTACGTTGTTGAGCAAGGATTCACTATTGTGACTGATCTAATTACGAAAAAGAGAAGTCGATTCCAGAAGAGGGGACTTGTGCCTTCATTTCTCTAAAAATATTGAACTGAATGTTCAGAAACTGCTGTGAAACATCAAGCACAAACATTCCTACTGTTCATGCTTGTTTTTTCCACTGATATTACTTATTTAGTGTATTTTTTGCTTTTTAAATTTTTTCAAAATTTTAATTAAGAATTTTTCAAACATGAAAAAGCGTTTAAAGGAATATAATTACCTTCCAGGGCAGAAACTATTGAGTTAAACAAACAAATTTGATGTGTGAGTCTACTAAAAAAAAATTACTTAAAATTTTTGCCTTGTATAATTCAGGAACTTCTTTCCAATACCCTAAATGACAGGATTTTCATGTATTGGCATTGAAAAATTTTTCTCTCCTTAGTGGGCAGCAGCTTTAATACATCGTGATTGGTGTATCACTTTATTTAAATCTGTAACTGCTTTAAATTATTTTAGCAAATTTATGTTACAGTTTTAGTAAGCACATGTGTTTTTTTTTTTTTACTTTTGTATGTAGGTTTTAGATCTTGTTGTTAGTCATGATGGACGGGGTCGTAAGGTGCCAGAATATCTTATACATTTTTTTGGGTGGAATAGTAGGTAAGTACGTCTATAATCAGACTATAAATGCAATTTAATATTTTTGTCTGGGTTCTACTGTGTTATCAAGTTATACAGTACAAAGTCTTTAATCCGGACTTGTTGGGACTTCAGAGATTCCGGATTAGGTTTTTCCGTATTATAGATCATCAATTTAAATCTGGTAAGATGGCATGCAGAAATTATAAAATTAAAAATATGAAACCATAATTTATGAAATAAAGAGCAATTATGATCTAAAGGGTATCAAAATTTACAAAAAAAAAAAAGCTTAATATTTATTTGCGTACTTCATTAAACATTTCTTTCAATGTAAGTTGTTTAAGTTGCTTCGTTTTATGTGCTAATACTTTCTCTTTAATTCTATAAACAGACATAATTTCTTGTTCAGTTACAAAGTTGTTCCGCTGTTCAAGTCCTGTAATTGCTGTGCCGAGAATACCGACTAACTTTTCAATAGAAATTTTTTCGTTTTCACTAACCTCTCTGTCACTTTCTTCATGCCTTTATCCATTTTTTGCATCAATTCCACTTTTTGTTTGGTTTGATGGACATCGAAACATGCTTTCACTTTATAGATCCTTTGGCAGTTCCAGAATCGGAAACTCTTTTTGACATAATTGAAAGTTCAAGCTTACTTTCTGTAAAATTTTTCTAACAGTCTGCAAAAAATAATAAGCTGGATCCAATTAGAAGATAAGGAACAATGCAATCTGCGACATTAACTGAAATAGATAATTAGATAATTTTAGCCTAGCTTATACCGTCGTTATGCATGCGCAGAAAGTTCGTAGCTTTGAGGTCCAGATTATAGATCATTCCGGATTATGGACGTCCGAATTAAAGACTTTGTACTGTATTACAGAAATTGTTAATAATTTTTACTGAAGTGGCTTTACTACATTATTTTAATGGTTTAAATGTATTTTGATAATACATTTATTATTTTAATATATTTTGATTTTAACTTTCTATTTTGATATTACTTTTAGTAAAAGAAATGCTTTTTCTCAGTGGAGGGGGTAAATTTAATGGTGGTTAATACTGGACATATTTTATTATACATTTAATATATAAATATATTTTATTTTAAGTAGTGGGATAGTGCATATTATGCAAACCTGCCTCGCAAGCATTGTCAGAATTATAATGCTATATTTAGCAAGGCAGTATTTCATGTAAGACATAGTCTTTGAAAGCATAATTTTACATTTTATCAATTAAAAGCAGTTTTACTTATTTTTGACTGCAAATGCTGAACGAAAGTTACAATTTTTGAATGTTTATAGAGACAGACTGACAATCTAGGGTGTCCCATCAAGTTACTGTGTTTCAGTTAGAGATATATTAGGCATACGGGTAGGTCCTAAAAATTAGTAAGTTATTTAGTTATCATTTTGTCTCAAATCTGAACTTAGCAACTCTATTATGGTTTACCACTTGCCTTGTAGAACTACGGAGGATCACCATTAGGGAATCATGAATGCAGTTTCTGTCGACCATAATCGATTCGTAGAAAGTGTACAATGGTGAGACCGACACATTAGCTGGATGAAGTCACTGCCCCTACCACATTAATGAAAGGGAATTATAGGGAAAGAAATTTATACAGAAAATCTTTAATTGATATGATTAATTATAATTATCATTTAATGCATTGTAAGTAAACTTATAATAAAGCAGGTACAGTAAACAACAGAGTAATCATAATTCATCCATCAATTAGGCATAAATTTAAAGGAGAAAAACTGTACTATAAGATAAAATCATCGATGTAAAAAATGAGTTATTTATAATTTTATTTATTCTCTTTAATTAAGCCAAAAAAATAAAGCAAAGTTAATTTTGACTTTTTAATCTTTGCTATATTGTAAATTGTATTTTACTTGCAGTAACTTTCAAAGATTAAAATCAAAGAAACCTTATTAATTCTTGCCAGCTGTTGCAAGTTGCATTAGAATCGGCATCAAATAAAATTTTCTTATATGATAAGTGTGATTGAAAGATTATTATTTTCATTGGTGTTTTCTGGACTAAATTCACTTCGAAAGCAGATCACAGAATCTGAGAATAATTTTCTTTCTAATGAGTAGTCTTTTCTTAAGATGTTGAGATTTAAGTTTTACTGAAATTGCTGCTGAGTTGGTGAATTTTACCATTTGTTAAAGTGATATGTGACATTTAACAAATGATACAAGTAAAATATAGTTATCTCTGAAACTGTAACAATATTAGCAGTTTGAAAAATTCTAATTACATATGATGAATATTATACTGCTCTGCTATACTGCTCCATAAAGGCAACAGCTATCCTCCCTTTTCTTTGCCTGTTCTAATAGTTTTGCAAGATTTAATACAAATGTATCACTGCAGATTGGCAATAAAAAATTTGGTGAACATACATACAGAAAGTAACTGATTACTTAGAGCGGGAAATATTATCATTTCATCCATCATACTATTTGATTATCATGTATATCAAATTTAAAACATGTTTAATGGATATTAAATTTTATGCATGGCAATATGTTGCTATTTTTATCAAAAATTAATTTAACATAATTTAAAAAGTATTTAGTTGTGTGTAGTATGTATGTGTGATTAAAATTTTAACTCCTTTAAAAAGACATATTTGCCGTTACGCAGCTGGAATTATTGAAACATTTTAAATATGGTGGTAATTAGATTTTGATTAGAGGAAAAAGTATGTTTTTTCATTTACTTCTTGTACGTTTGTCGCATTGTGAAAAAAACAGCAGCACCTAGAAATACAAAAATTTGAACATGTTGTGGTAGTCCTTCGCCTGAGCATATACACCTTGAAGCCCAAATTCAAAAATGTTTTGTATTTATTTTATATTTTGTGCGAATTTAATGATGTTTTGATTAGCAAACTCGAGAATTTTAAAACAGTCTGTTACCATGTGGTGAAGTGTAAGATATTTATGTTTCAAATTTTATCATGAAACTCAGAGATTTAAAAGAAATGTATTGTCATTTCTGCAAATAATATATTTTTATCTTTTCACACTTCAGTCTGCGGCCATTCGGCAAAGTTTAAAACATTTCATTTTGCTTTAAATCTGTCTGTTATTAACAAACCAAGTGATACAAAATACTTTAATTAGTTTTCGTACAAATACTACCAACAGTGGCAGATTTTGCTTTCATTAAGAAAGAAACTTCATAATTTTGTTCATAGCAGTTGCCATGTTGGCTTGCTTTTGCTAATAAAGGTTTTTCTAATGTGTCATTACTAATGTTAGATCAAAATTTAGTCCTTATTTTCACAGCAACACTGAAAATCCTTTCGCATTCTGCATTACTACGGGGAATTGTCAGAATGACCAACATTATTCTAGACAGTTCACTACACAGTACAAAGTCCGTAATCCGGAATGATCTATAATCCGGACCTCAAAGAGACAAACTTAGGTATGCGCATAATGCGTTTACGCATGCACGTTTGATGCGCTTGTGCGCTACGCATGCGTGTAAAGCATTTACCCATGCACACTTCTGATAGTGAAGAAAGTAACAGAGAACGTTATTGAAAATGAACAAATTTCTATTGACAAGTTAGTCAGTATTCTCGACACAGCAATTACAGTGGAACTTTGTACCTTACATTGAGAGAAATGTATACTAAAGTAAACAAATAAATATTAAGCTTTTTGTTTTTTGTAAATTTTGATACCCTTTAGATCAAAATTACTCTTTATTTCATAAATTACAGTTTCATATTTTTAATTGTATAATTTCTGCATGTCATCTTACCATATTTAAATTGATGATCTATAATCTGGAAAAAAACCCTAATCTGGAATCACTGAAGTCCCGACGAGTCCGGATTACAGACTTTGTACTGTACTTTAAAATTCGATCAGCACCATTCAGTTTTCAAATTAAACTCCACTGGGTGTCAGTCCTAGCTGATTTTATAACTTTATCCAAATTTTCTAATTGTATGCTCAATATCATCATCTTTCATGACTAAATGAAGTAAAACTGGAATCTATCTATATATATATAAAGGATGCATTTGCTAGAGCAGAAACATCTGCAACTTTAGTGTATAAAATCATTTCATTGATGATTGGAAATTTATGTAGTGTGTAATCACATATTCGGCAGAAGTAGCTTCTAAAGTGGAAATAAAACTAATTTTAGTCTTCCTCTGAAAGTTCTTCTGTTACTTTGTTAGTTGTAGCCCCTATTACCAAATCTTAATCTTTATCTGATTTCCTATTTCACCATAAATCACCCATACGTAGAACTAAAATATGAAACAAAGACTGGTTGTACAAACTTTAATAAAATGTCTTTCAACAGATCATAAATCCATTGATTGCAGAACATGAATTAATGGAATTCTGCTTTGTAGAACTGTTAAGAACATCGAATGATGGTAAAATAAATTGTACAAAAGAGCAAAAAGCTTTGTTAAGGTCTAAAGACAAAAACATAAATATTCTTTCTTCACAAGATAAACTTAATAGTAATTGAAAAACATTTTCTTGTTGATATTTTTTTATTTTTATTTTGAGAGAAATTTGTATCAGCTTTGTATTTTGTAGTATTATCTTGAGAACTGCCAATTAAATTCCTTACTGGTGCAGAAATTCCTTTTCTTAAGTCTATTTTTAACAGTTGAAGTAGTAGCTACATCTCCATTTACTTTAGGTTATTTTATAACTTTCATTGTTCTAGAAGCATTTACTTCTTTAAAAAATCCAAGAAGTGGGTTCCATTGATTGAGGATTCTAGATAAACATTTCTTTACATACATGTTTAAAAATGTTTCTTATTTTAGTATTATGCAGCTGTTGGAATTGTTTCAATTTTTCTTTTCTTTTAGAACTCCTTTCAAGACAATAATCAACAATGTTTTCGTCCACATTTATTGGTAAAGAAGCTGCCCCTTCTGCTAAATTTCAGAGGTGACAGGTGTCCCTCATAATTTGCAAATCTGAAGCTTCTTTTTTTAAGATGCCTGTGCC